GTTTTAGAGTTGCGGAACTGGATCTACGAAGTTTCGCGAGTGTCCGGTCAGAAGCAACGAAAGTGATATTTTGAATGGTTTACGTGTTTACTTACGTAAGTTGGAGGGGGGAAGGGGGTATTGGTTCGGGAGAAATGTAAAAAGGTAACTATTGTTTCGAGTTCATCTCGACAAAAGAAAACGAAAATCTTTTATGCTCCAAGACGATCAGAATCGAAATGGCAGAGTTATTGCCCCCCAAATTGACAATTTGGTCGTTTTTGCATACATTTACCCCTTTGGAGGCTAATAACTTTGCCATTTCGACTCTGATCGGCTTTGAGCATAAGACATTTCCTTTTTAATTCTGAAAAAGGAATCCAAGTCTTGTATTACACTTTTAATTTTGTAATTTCTAAAAAAATCCTACTTTACAATTTTGCTCTTTTAACAAAATGGAATGGTGTTTACTTTTAGAATGATTGGAAGTCACCTAATCTTTCAATAGGACTTGTCAAAACGATTTTTAAACACACAACTTATTTTCACAATAGCCATGGACTTGCAAAGGACCGAACAATATTAAAGCCAATATCGCAAACTCAGGTAGGATAGGCCCATCGAAATCAGAACAAAGTATACCATTTTCTTAAATTGATGAGCTTTGTCTGCAGTCACATTATGTTTAATGATATCCAATAAAATGGTAGGAGCATTGAAATTAAACTCTTTGATACGATACATTATAGAACTTTCAATGAAATATACTTCAGCGACTCGTGATCCTTCAAATACCTCAGAGAGATCTGATAAAAAGGAATGAAAGAGCGACAAGTTATACTTGTCGTAGGAGAGAAGTTTAAGTGTATTTTGAAATTAAATTAAATATTAGGGTATTTAATTTCACTTCAACCAGAGGCAATCCAATAGAATTTCACCTTAAAAAATAAATGGAATTGAATGAAATGGGAGCATTATGCTTCATATGGCATCACACAAAAAGGTAAATTAAGTAGGGGGAGGGCAGTGGGAAAACGAAGGGACAGTAGCAGACATGTTCTGTAGGTGAACTGCAGGAATGCATAAATTTACCCCCCCCCCCTGTCCCCTCTATAACTAGCCACTGTTACACAGTTATGTGTTTACCAAAACCAATCAACCATGTATTTTGATGAATAGAAATCAGACTTCCCAGTATCAGAAAAAAATCAGAAAAAAATCAGAAAATTAAAGAGAAATCAATCAGAGATGGTCCGAAAAATTGGTGTAAGCTTGAATTGATAGTGAAGTACCCCTCGAGGGATGCCGCGGGAGAGGGGAGGGGGGGTGCACAGTAGCTTGCCTCAATGCACATACAGGGATCTTCAGACAAATTCCTTATCCCTTAGACGGCTCACTATAGCGACGGAAGAATTAGAAGCGCCCCCCCCCCCCCCAATCTCTTACGTTCAAGGAGCAGACGACCGGTTGCCTACCTACTAGGCGGACCCTCATTCGGTATAGTTTTGTTCTATATTTTTTATGTCTTCTGTAAATTTAATGCACTTCGCTCAGCTACCCTGTGCATAATGTTAACGCACGGGGCCCTACGTGTAAAGTTTTATACTAAATCTGCTTTCAATTTTTTCTGTTTACTTTTGAGTCTTACTCTTCAAACCATAGGGCAATGCATTCTCATTCTGAATCGTTTTACCCATAGTAAATATGTCCAAAGGTTCATTGTCGTTTCAGATTAACCTTACTTTTACAGTGGTCTGTTTGTGTGGACTGGTGAGCGGTGTGTTGTGTTGCTGCTCTACTGAGAAGGCGTTGGGTCGTGTAATTATTTCTCGTAATAATTCGGTAATGCACTCGCTCGTCCCTGCGATACAAAGTTGATGTTGTTTCTTCCCCCTCCCCCCTTCTCAAGCTCTACTTGCTCACTGGGCGGCTCAGTGCTCAACCCTACGATAAGGCCACGCTACTGTGACCACTCTCGATTGCACTATCATGCAGCCCGCCCTGCTACCTTGGCCTAGACCAGACTCCCCTCCTCCCTTTCCTGTTGTCCGCCCTGCCCACTTACGGCACCATCCTTCCGCCAACATCAAACAACAGCTGAGCAGGGACTTCCCTCGCGCGCGCTCCAGTGCGCCCATACCTTTAATGGAGCACAGTTTTCATTATTGTCCAAGTTAACGCTTCTCTTTAAATTTGTGAACTTCTGATTTTTCTTTAGAAATAGTATATACTATTAACATCGTTTCAGAGAGAAAAAACTTGAATGTTTTTTTTAACGGCTTTGCTATTTCTGTCTGTTGCAGGTGAGTGGGGTCGAGTGTGGAGGTCTTCAGCAGCGCTCTGGAGGCGAGGTAGCGAGTGTCTGTCTGTCTGTCTGTCTGAGCGAGAGAGAGAGACAGAGAAGGGGGTAAGCTTATCCGGCCCCGTGCAAAACATTGGAGGCGCCCAACCCAACAACTTTCTTCGCCCGTTTAACCTTTTCCCGATCCGCTCGCACCGCGGCTGGCGGCGGCTCTATGTTCTGAGAAGTATTTCCTCCGGCGAGTTGCAGTCGGTCGCCCATGCCCTCCCCCCCCCCTCTCTTTCCCACTCGCCCGCCGCCCTATATCGCCGGGAAGAATTTTGGCACGTCGCCCTCATGACTTCTTTCGCAGTGTCCAGCAGCACAGTGCTTTGCGGCTCCCACCACCACCACCCCGGCGAGTGTGTGAAGTATGGCTTCCAATTATTGGCGATTAGTGCAGTAACGACTCAAGCGTCCGCAGTGCGGGGGAGGGCTGCGCGCCGCCCAGAGGGGCCGCGGCCTGGCTGAGGGCGCGGCGCGCTGGGCCGACTGAGGCCGCTCCTCCCTGATTCCCTCACGTCTCATTGAGATCGCCCCCCCTCCCCGCCCCCGCCCGTGCCCACTTTGTACACTTTGCCAAGCCACGCCGCACCCCGCCGCACCGCGCGCAAGGCGTGCCGAGGCCCACGGCGCCCACGGCACGTAGCGTAGCGTAGCATGCGGGGAGTGTGTTTTCGCGGAAGTAGGGCTCCGTGGCGCGGCGGGGCGGGGCGGGGCGGGGGCGGTGGAGGGGCGGCTCTGTTTGAAATGCGGTGACTGCCAAGGAACGCACGCCCCGCGTGTCGCATGGGCACCCTACTCCCGATAATGAGAGCCGACGACATCGTTTCCCCATGTCCTCATGTCTCCGAGGCGCCGCGGCCGCGGCGTCGGCGGTGTCATAATGCGATCGCGATTCGCGTCGCGGCGGCTTCTCTGCCCCGCTCAGTATGCACCCCTGCGGAGTGCCCCCCCCCCCTCCACCGGGCAGGTCCCTATTCGCCTTCGCTCCTCTCTCGCCTCTCCAGATCGACCTTGATCGAATTCCACGGGCCAGACAGGCGCCGGGGCAGGGCGGGCGGGGCCCGGCCCTTGCGCACTAGCCCACACGATTTTACTACGGACTGTCTGCAGACGATTTTTCTCTAGTGGGGGAAGGGGCGAGGATCCAATGTATTCGGGAGAAAGGCGAGTGGGTCTGCCATCGGGGGGAGGGGGGCGGACCTCCTCGAGTGGTGTCTCGCGCTCTTGCCGCCCCGGGCAGAC